CTGCTGTGAGTGATATACTACCCAGGAGCAGAAACAAGATATCTTAAAAATATGCTACAAATATAAAGAGGCTTTTTGCACAACAGAAGAGCCCATTGAAAATGTCAAAGGTCATGATATCAAGCTAGAACTAACCTGTCAACCCCCGTACCCTCCGGCCCTCAGGAGAGCTGCTTATCCTTCTAGCCCAAAGTCCAGAGTAGCTTTAGAAACTCACATAAAAGAGCTTTTGGATCTCAAAGTTCTAAGAAAAGTGGGCCATAATGAGCAGGTAGAAATTACCACTCCTGTCATTATTGCATGGCATAATGATAAGTCCAGGATGGTTGGAGATTTTAGAGCTTTGAATAATTACACCAAAGCTGATAATTATACCATTCCTAGGATTGACCACTCTCTACATAATTTGTCTAAAGCAGAATATATTACCACTATGGATGTGCTTAAGGGATTCCATCAAATACCTATTGAGCCACATAGCAGACAATTTATGCGCATTATATGCCATCTAGGTGTTTATGAGTACCTCAGAATGTCTTTTGGAATTAAAAATGCACCATCCCATTTTCAAAGGATGATGGACTCTATATTTGGGAGCTTTATCCGTCAAAATTGGATGATGGTTTACATAGATGACATTATCATTTATTCTGATAATTGGGCCACACATCTGGAAAAAATCACTTCTGTGCTTGAAATGGCGGTAGAATCTGGCCTCAAAATGTCCATTAAGAAATGTAATTTTGGTTATGGAGAACTTAAAGCATTGGGACGCATAGTGTCAGGCTTAACCTTAGCCATAGATCAACATAGAGTAGCTGCTGTCTTGTTAAAACCCATGCCCCAGAATATTACAGAAATGCAATCTTTCTTAGGATTTTGTAGTTACTACAGGCAACATATCCCCAAATTTGCCAATATCACTCATAGTCTTTATGAAATTTGTAGCAAAGATGTAATATATGAAATGACCTATTCACGTGTCCAGGATTATGAGCAACTCAAACACCTCATGACCACTGCTCCTGTTCTAGCCCAGCCTGATTATACCAAACCATTTATTTTGTACATAGATGCTTGTCTAGATGGTTTGGGCGCAGCTTTGCACCAAGAATTTAAAATTGATGATATTCCAACTGAGAAACCAGTTCTGTTTATCTCTAGACAAATCAAATAAAGTGAAAGAAAATATGGAGCAAGTCAAATGGAATGCTTAGCATTAGTCTGGTCACTTGAGAAATTGCATTATTATCTTGAAGGCACCAAAGTTGTAGTAGTCACTGATTGCACAGCAGTTAAAACCCTCATGAACATGAAGACACCTAACAGACATATGCTCAGATGGCAAATTGCTATTCAACAATATAGAGGACATATGACTATTGTTCACAAAGCTGGCATTAAACACAGAAATGCAGATGGGCTTAGTAGATGGGCCTTACCCAACACACCTGATAACCCAGCCTGGGATCCAGAAGATGAGGACATTCTTCCAATTTTAGGTATTCACGTGTGTGATTTGGATATTGCTTTCTACAACTTAGTCCAAGACAGCTATAAGGATAATATTGAACTGTTAAAATTGGTTGACATCTTGAGCAATGAAAATAGTTCCCCTGAGTTGATTGCTAGTTTACCCTCTAATTTGGCAAAACCTTATTCTGAAGGAAAATTCACTTTATTGGATGGATTGCTGTACTACAGGAATAGACACTCTAGTGTTTTAGTACTCTGTGACCAGGCACAAATTGACAACATTCTTTATGAATGCCATGATAATGTTAATTCTGGCCACTTTTCTGAAGACAGAACAGTGGAGAGGATAAAACATACTGCCTGGTGGTTAGACTGGAGATCTCAGGTGACCAATTACGTCAAATCTTGTGAAGTTTGCCAAAAATCAAATAAAC